TTGTTTGAACTGTTACTGATTTGTAGAAGAGACTTAATTAGCAACTGAGTTAAGCATGTACTTTAAAAATGGGGTTTTATATACAACAATCTATCATCTTTTAAAAGAGTTTTTGAATTGATTTAATAACTTATAAAAGCATAAGAATTCCCTTTGTGTGATGGTTATCACAGGTAAATATTAACATAATATAATTGTGTTCAACTTGTATCCCCCCCCCCTAAAAGCATTTAAAGCCATTTAAAAGGTAGATTATATGGGTATGAACTCACCTTATGTGGGTGATTCAATTGAAGATTCGAATAAGGATGATAAGTTCCACGAGTGAAGTCCTGGAGCACAAATGAGTCCTAAATAGCATGTAATGATACATATAAGCATGAAATTAGTGAATCTAACTACAAAGGCGATTAGGAAACAACCTAGGATGCAAGAATAACTCACCAAAAGAGTGTTAGAAGCAAGTTAGGAGGCTAAAATGGAGTTTACAGCCCTATGGAGTGATCACGGCCCAAGAACACTTGAGTGTTCACGACCCAAACATGAAGGGTTCACGGCCCTGATGAAGGTTCACGGCCCTATGAAGGGTTCACAGCCTAAAGATGTGAAGAACACTTGAAGATCTTGTTGTTTGGCAAGTGTTTGAAGATCCTAAGTTGTATTCCAAGAAGATACACAAGAAAAGGGAGTTTTAAGGGAAGAAAATAGTGTTCTTGAGGATGATACTTGAGAGAGGATGGAAGAGATCACGGCCAGGAGAAGAAGAATGAAAGAAAAATGAAGTAAACTCATATATATGCATGGTGTTCACGGTCTAAGGAGGGTTCACGGCCGTGAACATGGTTTGCGGCCATAAACCTCACTTGTTGAGGTTTATGGCTCAAATGAAGTCCTTGGCTCTCGGTTCTTACGTGGTTCACTTCCTAACACACAACCCTTACGTATACTAGGTCTAGAAACCTATAAGTTTGACCTTCAGTTGATTTGTTTGACCTTCAGTTGATTTGTTTGACCTTACAAGATAGAAATTTTCAGATCGTGACACACACACACACACACACACACACATATATATATATATATATATATATATATATATATATATATATATATATAAATATATATATAATCCATGTCTATTTGACTAGCCCAATCACCAAATTCAGCCCAATTCCCTTTAGCCTAAACTTTAATCATATTAATAAACTACGAGGATAAAGTCTTATAAGGGAGTTCAAGTTTCTTCTTAATACCAATGTGTGATAAGTCCCATAAAGGTAATTTTCATTAACAAAGTTCCAACAGAACCAGGCTTCAATGCAACCACAAACTCTTTCTCTACTCACTTCTTCACCAACAATGGACAAATTAAGGTCAAAACCACCAGAATCTCAAGAATTGAGGAGTAGGGGCTAGGTTTTTTCTGGAGGTGATGGAGGTTAAGGGTGGAGAGAACCCTATCCATCACATCCCTTAAATATGGCTCGAGGCCTGATACCTATGGTTTTGAACCCAGCCGACACCACGCCGTGGCCAACACCTAACCGTACCGCCACTTAAGTGATGTGGCAGTGCCGCAATGGTACTAAAATGAAAGATTGATGTCACAGAATAATCCCTAAAAGCTGGATGTTACATCTACATGTCCAGTTGTTGGATATGGTTCAGTCAGAATTCGTATGTTTGATGGAGTTATCCGAACAATAGGGGATGCTAGATATGTTTTTGACCTCAGAAGAAACTTGTTATCTCTTAGTTCCTTTGATAAAAAAAAGGATATGAGTTTTCTGGTAAAATTGGAGTTCTCATGGTATTCAAAGATGGTTATAACACACTAAGAGCCAAGCGAAAAACATCATACCTTTATTTTCTTGACGGATAAACAATTTCAAGTGATGTTGTTGTTGTTTCTAAGTCTCTTTATGATCCTAATCAGTCTTTTCTTTGGCACCTTAAACTCGGTCATATGAGTTTTCAAGGCATGTCTGAATTGAGTTGAAGATGATTACTTGGTAAACAAAAGGTTGTTGATTTAGAGTTTTGTGAAGATTATGTATATGGCAAGGGAAAACCAGTGATATTTATGAGTGGTATTCATACAACGAAATAACCACTTGACTATGTCCATTCAAATTTGTGGGGACTGTCTCGAGTTGCTTCGAAAGGTGGAGCTATTAATATGCTCACTATCATTGATGATTTCTCTAGGAAGGTGTGGAATTTCTTCTTAAAACATAAGGGATACGTTTTCTTTACTTTCAAAAATTGGAAAGTGCAATTTGAAAAGCAATCAGGATTTGTGGTAAACTATCTTCACACAGATAATGAACTTGAGTTTTGCACGGAAGAGTTTAATGCCTATTGCCGAAAGGAAGGCATCACTCGACATAGCACGGTAGTCTATATGCCTCAACAAAATGGTGTAGCCGAAAGGATAAATCGCACCATTATGGAGAAGGTTCGTTGTATGTTTTCTAATTTCAAATAAGGGATAATGACTTAAAAGGGTAATGTATTTTTCGATTTGTACACATTTAGTCACTAAGTTTTTTTTTTCGTCCACATTTACCCCTTCAACTTGTTAAACTGTACACATTCAGTCATTATGACCGGCTACTCCATGTTAGCCGGTAAAAATGACTTAATAGGGTAATATATTTCTCACTTTGTACACATTTAGTCATTAATATTTTTGTACACATTTAGTCCTTAATATATATATATATTTTTGCAAAATAAGTTATTTTTGTTTTTGTACTCATTAAATATTTATGAATGATTTCTTTAGTTTTTTCTCACGAAATCTTACGTGGGAAATTCATTAAGAAAGTGTTTGGGCCTTTTGATGTTGATGTCCATCGCGATCTCGACTACTTGGTTGCTTAGATAATGTGTTCTGAACGTCATAACTTCTTCATACGATCTCAGATTTTAACGATCTTTATATCCATGTGAATGATCCATGCGTTCGTACTTTAGTCTACTACAACTTTTATTTAGATTACTCCCATTAAAAAATAATATATTTTTACTTACGATTTTTATATCCATACGCAGAGGCAGATTTAACCTGGTCCCGGTGTTCCACCGGCAACACCTGTTTTTTCTGTCCGCAGTGGAAAAAATTTCGATTTTTTTTTTCGTTTATAGCTATTTTTCATGTATCAGCAACACATATTTCATCTCGGCAACACCTATTATGTATTATTGCGTCTGCCCCTGTCCATACGTTTTTTTTATGAATGCATGTATGTTTTTATGAAATCGTAAGTAAAAATATATTACATTTTAACGGGAGTAATCTTAATGAAAAAATGAACACGTGGATATAAAGATCGTTAAAATCTGATATCGTATGAAGAAGTTACGACGTTCAGAATACAAGACCTAAGTCAAACAACAAGACTTACGCAACCAAGCAGTCGAGATCATGTTGGACATAAACATAACAACCCCAAACAACTCATCAATGATTATCCCACGTAAGATGTAGTGAGAAAAAACTTAAAGAAATCATTCATAAGTACTGAATGAGTACAAAAAATGACTTGTTTGAAACAAAAAATGTTAATGACTAAATATGTACAAAAATATTAAGGACTAAATGTGTACAAACTGAAAAATATATTACCCTATTAAGTCATTTTTCACGGCTAACTTGGAGTAGCCGGTCATAAGGATTGAATGTGTACAGTTTAACAAGTTGAAGGGGTAAATGTGGACGAAAAAAAAAACTCAGTGACTAAATGTGTATAAATCAAAAAATAGATTACTGTTTTAATCATTATCCCTTCAAATGAAGTCCTAATGGATGGAGGTTGCTTCCGCTGCTTGTTATGTTATCCACCGTTCTCATGTTTATTTTGAACAAATTAACTCTCGATAACAACAAGAATAGATTATTAGATTATTATGAACAAAAAGCAATACTATGTGTTCCTATTGAGATGATTTTGAAAAAAAAAAAAAGTCAAGTTTACTTTAGAATAGGAAAAGTGGTATATATAAATTTATAATTTCATAAATTGTATATTCGTATTCATGCTAATCTATATTTTTCACTCAATGAAATTATATATTCTGTTTTTTTTTTTTTTTTTAATAACAACATACTTTAAATTTCATCCATTATTATTATTTTTAGGGGTTTTCTATAAATATCCCTTCATTTTCCAATTCCACCCACCTTCATTTGATTTTTTGTCTTTTGTTGTTTTTTTTTTTGTTTTTTTCCTATTTTGTTTTATTATTATTATTATTATTATTATTATTATTATTATATTTTGATTATTATTATTATTATTATTATTATAAATTTCGTACAAAATTTTAATATTCGGACGACATTATAAATTCAAATGGCTATATAAAATCGGTTTTTAAATATTTTTTTATATTTTTTAGTTATGGACAAAAAAGTAGTTCGAATTTTATAATGTCGCGCGAATTTATAATATTTACCGAATTTTAAAATGTCATCCAAAATTTAAAATGTTGTCCGAATTTTTCTGATTATTGAAACTTATAATAATACTAATAATAATAATAATATTATTAAAATATAAAATAAAAGGAAAAAAATCAAAAACGAAAAGAAAATAAAAAAAAAGTAAAAAATAATGTCAAATCAAAAATAAAAAGTTGATTTGATTGATGTTAGGAGGGATAAAATTGGTTAATGGGATACTTATAGTACAACCCAAATTATTATTATATCAATTCATCATCAGTTTGGTGTTCAAGTTAATTAAAATATCTCGTCTAGTCGTCTTCATAAATATGGACAAAAACTTAATATGTGTTTTTATATAAAATAAAAACATAAACTGCATATAATGAATATTAATCTAGTGGACTTAACCCACACTAAATTGAATCTCACAAACCAATCAAAATAAAAACCAACAATTTTCTATATATTTCTGTTACACAGCTATCAGAATATCTGAATCACTATGTTCACTAAAAAAATTTAAAAAAATGCTTTTTTTTCAATAAAATCAAATCAAATAATTCGAATATCCAAGAAAACTACTACTAATTGAAAAATCCAACGATTGAGATTGATGATGCTCATCATTATGCTTGTACAAATCGTACGGCTTCCACAAATGATCCAACGGACACGGTCTCTTCTCATCGTGCCTCACCCATGGCTTCCCTTTTCCACTCCAATGTAACAAACTCACCGGACCTGAATGTAATGACCGGCAGCTGCCCTTCACATTATCCCCTCCGAGTCCATGTTGATTCCACCGGTGATCAATCGGCTCAATGTTTCCAGCGAACACTAACAGAAACGGCGGCAGCGAACCCAGCTCATAAATCCTTCTTTTCCTCTGGATTTCCATCCAGTTCTTGATTTTGCGGCGATAGTTTCCTTTTCGCCATTTTCGCATATCCATCACCATTACGCCGGTGTTGAAGTAACACGGCTTTTTCGACCCGAATGTGCGTGACAGAACCGGGTCGGACCAGAAGTTGTCGGTGAAGTAGTTTGTGAAATTTGCGTGACAATACTCCGGAGCTCCGATGACTCGGTTGCTTCGTAGAGTAATGTTCCATAGCTTCTGGATGTCGTCGACTAAAACGACGTCGGTGTCGAGGTAGATGACCCGGTTTAGATTCGGGTCAAGTATATCCCCTAAATAGTTTCGGGCGTAGTTCAACGGGTTCTCGAGGGCCACACGGATCGACGACGAAATCAGATTTATGACGGAGTCTTCCCGGAAAATGTAAACCTTAAAGTTGAGCGACGGGAACGTGTTTCTAACCAGTCGGGTTAAAACACGTGGACTCGCCGGATCGAACTCGGCGGCGATGAAATGGAAAAACACGTTTTCCGGGCAGGAAGCGTGGCGGAGGACGGAGTGTACGGCGGCGACTGATCCACGAAGATACTCGGAGTCGAGTGTCATAGCGACGTGAATGGTGTAGGGACGGCAATCTTCACCGTTGCGATACTCCGGCGCCTCCATGTACCCGTACAAATCATCGGAGATGATTTCGCCGTTCGTCGGAAACGAACGAATCCCGAGGCAGGTGAATGGGAATGATAGAAACAGATTGAACAGAAGAACAACCACAACCGAATCAATCAACGATCGATGGCAAAACCGAAAATCAACCATCTCCAGTAATGCCTTTAAAGATTGGTTTTCTTGAATCGTTAGTAAATCATCTCCGGCGAGATGTTGATGAAGAAGAACGGAAAAAATTAGTCAAACACACACAGTCAAACACCCAGTGTGTGTGTGTGTTTATATGATATACAGAGAGAGGTGTATATATACACACAATGGACTATGGAGGGTATATGATGTATATAGCTCACTCTGCTTTCTCTCTCTGGGTTTTTCGGGGTGGGGAAAACCGCCGTGGCAAGAAAAGATGATACGGTGGGAGCTTGTTGAGATCACGCGATTTGGGGGCGCGTGAGTATTAATCGAAAGTTGGGGTGTGGGTTACGCGCTAGTTTACTTGTTTGGTGGGCATGTTAAGTAAACAAAAGCATTATTATTATGAAAAGTATAGTTGGTAGTTTTATACGCTTTTGCTAAAATATTACTCTCCCGTCTCAAAATTATAGTCCATCTTTCCTTTTTGGTTTGTCCCAAAATTATAGTCTATCTTTCCTTTTTGGTTTGTCCTAAAAGAATAGTCTACTTCTAAAAATAAATAACATTTTTACCAAAATACTCCCTCATTATTATTTAACCAACTAAGCATTTAATGGAACATTAAATACAAAGTAAGGACAAAACTGTTATTTTATTAAATAAAGTTAGTGACAATTAATGTTTTTCTTAAGGGATAATGACTTAAAAGGGTAACATATTATTCGATTTGTACACATTTGGTCACTGAGTTTTTTTTTCGTCCACATTTATCCCTTAAACTTGTTAAACTGTACACATTCAGTCCTTATGACCTGTTACTCCAGGTTAGCCGGGAAAAATGACTTGATAGGGTAATATATTTTTCATTTTGTACACATTTAGTCCTTAATATTTTTGTACATATTTAGTCCTTAACATTTTTTTTGTTTTAAAATAAGTCCTTTTTGTACTCATTCAATACTTATGAATGATTTCTTTAGGTTTTTTTCACGACATCTTACGTGAGACAATCATTGATGAAGTGCTTGGGGTTGTTGATGCTTATGTCCAATGCGATCTCGACTGCTTGGCTGCGTAAGTCTTGTGGTTTGGCTTAGGTCTTGTATTTTGAATATCGTAACTTCTTCATACGATATCAGATTTTAAGGATCTTTATCCATGTGTTCATTTTTTGAGTCTACTACAACTTTCTTTAAGATTACTCCCGTTAAAATGTAATATATTTTTACTAACGATTTTATAAAAAAAACATACATACATGCATTCATAAAAAACGTATGGACAGGGGAAGACGCAATAATACATAGTAGGTGTTATCGATACATGAAAATAGGTATAAACGTCAAAAAAAAAGCGAAAAATTTTCCACTGCGAATAGAAAAAACAGGTGTTGTCGGTGCAACACCGGGACCATACTAAATCCGCCACCGCGTATGGATATAAAAATCGTAAGTAAAAATATATTATTTTTTAATGGGAAATGAAAGTTGTCGTAGACTAAAATACGAACGAATGAATATAAAGATCGTTAAAATCCGAGATCATATGAAGAAGTTATGACGTTCAGAACACATGACCTAAGCAACCAAGTAGTCGAGATCGCGATGGATATAAGCATCAAAAGCCACATACACCTCATTAATGAATGTCCCCACGTAAGATTTCGTTAGAAAAAACTAAAAAAATCATTCATAAGTACTGAATAAGTAAAAAAAAAAAAGACTTATTTTGCAAAAAAAAAAAAGGACTAAATGTGTACAAAAATATTAAGGACTAAATGTGTACAAAGTGAGAAATATATTACCCTATTAAGTCATTTTTACCGGGTAACCTGGAGTTGCCGGTCATAAGGACTGAATGTATACAGTTTAACAAGTTGAAGGGGTAAATGTGGACGAAAAAAAAACTCAGTGACCAAATGTGTACAAATCGAAAAATATATTACCCTTTTAAGTCATTATCCATTTTCTTAATATGTGTGTTTTTTGTCTGTGGACTATAATATTGGAACGGAGGGAGTACTTGACAAAGTAGCATATCGTATCATTATTGGTTTTATCCTTTTCATTGCGAAGCCTAAAATTTATTGTATTTTTTATAACAGCTAACACACTTTTTCAATCCTATTTTTAAATCATATGTTTATATAATATGAAACTTGAACCTTCAATCCTTTATAGTTATAAATATATGAGAAATTTGAATAATTTAATGTGTATTCGAAGAGAATAACTAAAAATTATTGATTTTGGCAAAAATAACCATCAAATCCGGAAAAAGCATTCGAGACTGAGGGAAAATATTTTTTCCTGACAAAAAAAGTACATCCGAGCTGACATTCTAGAATCCTTGACCAACTTCCGGATTCCAAACGGAATTTCGGAGTTCGAAAATAAAAACTCCAAAATTTAAAAAAGAATGCTAAAATCCAATGACAATTTCCGAAATTTCGAGAAAAAAAATTATTTTTATTTAAATTCTAACAATAAGTTAAACAAAGTAAATGTGAACTGTATACGATATTAAGACATAAAATCGAATATTTGATTGAAAAACGTTGACATTAAACACTCCGAAATAAATATTTTGGACATGAGTATAAAGATTTATTTGAAAATAAAAAAAAAACCCAAAAAAGAAATCTAAAATTCGAAGATCATATCTAAATTGGACATTAAAAATAAATGATCATTTCACAAAAACTAGAAAAACGTAGTTATTTAAGAAAAAAACTCACAAAAACTCACTTATAATTGTGAGTTTACTCGATTTCCCATGATACTAATGGATCAAAGGTCCTACCATCTTAAATATTTTACCAATAAACACAATTTAAAAGGCCAAAGAAAAGGAAAAAAAAGTATAATATATAACAAATAAGGGTTAACGATATAGTTGTCAATCGAACTTCATTTTTAACTTGATTTAGTCAATAAAGTTCTTTTTTCGGGTCTAAGTCATTAAGGGTGTCTTCGGCTTGTAGAGTTTAAGGCTTCTAGCTTTTAAAAAAATATTCGTATAAAAATAATAATAAATAAATGAATAAATAAAAGTTCGTTCGACGACAGAAGCGTTTAACTTTTAACCTAAACAGAACGTTCCAAAATCAAAAGCTACATGAAGAAGTTTTCAACAAAACGCTCCAAAATCAAACGCTATCCGTTACCAGCTAGTTTTGTCGAACATATCCTAAAGCTCTGAAAATGATTTCAATTAAACCATTATGAAAATTATGAAGCAATTAAATAAGAAGAAAAATTATGCCAACCATATCAACAAACCCAAGTTAGATTAAATGAGGAACACGATAAATAACATTTTCGCCTTTTATAGGTTGTTCTCATTTAAGCATACCTTGTTAAATCGAATGCGAGAAACAATTAGGATTGGTGAAGATATTTGTGAATTGAAGAAAGTAGTAAGCGATGCGAAAGAAATTGTAAAGTGTGAATCCTTAAGCAAATTACTCAAAAAAACTTTCAAGGGGTATTTCATATCACATTCACCAAACATGATTTTGTTAGTATGACCTCGAGTGTGTTACATTTCTCGAACATTTTATTGCAAGTATTTATCGTTGAAGAATTGTTTATATGTTAACTGTTTAATATATGTATTTTTGCACTGATTTTTTTTTACTAAGTTATAACAGTATTGTAAAATCAGGAAACTTATTTAAAGTCAATTTTCTTTTATTATAGTCTTGTTAAAAATTAAGGTAAGACTTATAAAGGATATTAGATCGAAGTAAGTTAAAAATCCAAATAGTATCATAGTCCGGTTATGTGTGTGAGTCTTAACGCAAAGTGTAGTAGTCATCCGCTTTCTTTGGATAGTCAATATTGGCAGGTCCAGATCATACAGACGAAGCGTATGTATGGAGCATCTTCCAGAGTGAGATGACAACACTTGATTATTCTAGACAATCTTTTGAATTACGTTGGTAGTGTGACGTTATAAACCACAGACGTAGATGAAATGAGATACCATATTTATCAAATACTTTGGACATTGGTTGCCTTAAAAAGACTTACACTGGTCAATGACTCTCTTAGCTGTGTAGTCAAACAATTGCTTAAAAGATTTTTCAGGTTAGGTTATTCTTCTAGATAATCGTTGAACTAGGATTTGTGAGAATCGAATGGGCTGGGTATGTGGGTAGAATGTATTATAGATATTTACGTTGGATTTATATTTCTATATTGTTTGGAAATGTTAGTTTTGCAGGTTTTTCAATATGATTTAATATCATTAAATTATTGTGGGCTTGAAAATCCTATGTATCTTACCAGGTTTTCCAAACCTGACCTACTCACATTGTATGCATCACAGGTAGCGAAACTAAGGTTGTTGAAATCTACGATAGGATGCCAAGTGAGCATGTTATAGTATTCAGGACCTTTAAATATTTATGTTGTAAGATATGTTGGATATTTATTTATGACATCCTTGGTATTGTAATATTTTGAAACAATATTTTTTTATCTCAATAAAAATGTTTTATTAAGCTGGGATTTTCCGCAACAAAACAACTTATTATTTTAAAGCATAAAAGAAAAAGTTTTAATTGGTACTGAAAAATGGGGGATGTCACAGTTGGTATTAGAGCATTAGTTTAAGCGGACTAGGAATTTTTGATAAATTCTAGACTTAAACTTAGAAGCTAAGCATAAATGGCGAGGTGTCTGATAGCATACTTTAGGATAGATACCTAAGTTGCTACAATCTAGACACAAACATTAGCATATTATAGGAAGATGCCTTAATTGCTATTGTGTGCAAAATATATATGTGTTTTGTATGTAAACTGCTATCATTCTAAACTACTCATATCTACGAGTATAGAACGAAATGACGATCACAAGAAGTGGTAGAGTCGTTAATAACGATGGAGGTCTAGCACTTCAAAACATATACTAAATGATCCTACCTCTAATACGATCTTACCTGGTTGTTTCTTATTAGCTATAAGTTGTTACTTCGTTTGGGATTATTGATAAATCTAAGAAACA